GGAAGTTCTCTAAACCCCCTCAGATGCTTGAAGTCGCACTGCCCACATTGCTGAATCCATCTTTGCACTTTATCCATACGAACATTGAGGGCAATGTTCATGATAAGTGTGGGGGTGTTAGGCTATAGCTATGCACCTCAATCACCCCAATACATAAATGCATTGATAGGCCGCATAAACTGGAAATCCCCTAAAGCTTATTGCTGTCTATAAGGTGAATTCCAAGAGGGAATACGGTGAAGTTGAAGGACAATCACTTGTAAGTGCTAGAATTTATTCCTGTGAATTATCCATTTTTATCACAATACATGAGGATGAGGAAGTCGAATAGGACTTTCATCATGACCAGCACTAACTCTATTCATGTGTATAGTGTACTTGATTGAAGTCTTAATGAACACTCGAGCCATTAGTGAACATCATGAACTGTTAATGCATGTATTTCAACAATTGAAAAGAAAAAAAAAAAGAAGAGAAAGGGACAAAGTCTGAATTACTCCGCTGTCATGAATTGAATAGTAAGACTAGCAATTTATGACATGAGTTCAGTCCCAACTCCGCTATCTCAAGTTGAATAGTAAAACTAGCAACTTGGAATATGAGTATTGTTATGTACCTCCAACCTGTGACCCGTGTGAGATGGAGCATAAAATGCACTCACATCCGAAAAAAAAAAATTTAAATATTTCGGTGATGGCTGAGGTTCAAGGGGACAAAAATATGGTTGGACATTTAAGTTAGTGCATTGACAGGATTTGAGACCAAGCTCGAGGTGATGGTTAGTTATGGCGGTCAAGGAGCTGCTATATGTATTGAATGGAATTGAGTGTTGGAGCATGAAGAATCTCATGTTCTCCATTTCCTTTATTCTTATGTATGTGGTAAGAGTGGCCAATCATGGGGATGAATTAGAATGTTTATACAGGATTTCAGATCACTTAACACATTATCATCCTAAAATTAATTCGATAGATGGAAATAATCTGGGGAATGATCAGTTTATGGGTAATATCTTTGCTTGAGGACAAGCAAAAGCTTAAGTGTGGCGGTGTTTGATGTGTGCGCATGCTACACATTATTTTTATTGCTCTCTACATGGTTTTGATGGTAATTCTTAATGGGTTTTACCCAAATTGAGCAAGATTTCAGGAAACTAAGAGTTTGGGACAGTCTAGGGTGAAGAGGGCGTGAAGACATGTTAATATGGCAAAAAGGGAAGCACTTCAGCCCATCAAGAAGAAAGGCCCAACTGCAGCCCAACCGAAACCCTATGGGAGACTCCAAAAAGGTGGCTGACTTTAGGAGAAAGAAAAGAAGGAGGAGTATAAAAGAAAAGGAAAGAAAGGAATTAGGGTTCGAACCCTTGACACAAGAACAGAGAGGAGAAGTGCTAGGAGGAGGATCACAAGGCTGCTGAATGCGAATTGAAGAGGAGATCGAAGATTGACGCAGAAATCCTAAGTTGTCTTCTTTGATTCTGCGAATTCGGTAACCAAGACTCAATTAGGGTTTAATGGTTTTTCTTGTTGAATCTTTCTTTCTTTCTTTCTATTATGCGAACTATGATGGATGTTAATTAAGATTTGTAATTAATCTTTTAAGTTGTTCATTCGATTGTGATTCATCCTTGGGATTTCTTGATTAGGGTTTTCAATTATAAGAGTAATCTTGGTTGAATTATTCTTGTTTCTTGGATTATTTGAATTGCTTGAGAAAGGGTTTAGGTAATCAGATCAACTGATCAAGAAAACGGATTGAATGCATTTTAGAGATAATATGCATGATCCGTTTGGCATTCATTCAACAAGAATTAATTTCTATCGAATTTCTTGTTCTTAATACATCTATGGCAATTAAATTATTGATAGAAATATAGGAATTGTTGCTCATAGATAGAGTGGGTTGTGCTCGAGAGAGGCTGCTCATACAATTAGGGATTAGCCAATCCATGATTGAATTCAACTTCGGTTGGACAGCTTAATGGTATAATTGTTGAACCGGTTCTACTAGTATTTTCGAGAAGCACTTCTTCTCATCATTAAAGGCGGGTTGACCCGAGAATACTTAGGATAATTTGTTAATTAGGAGTTAAGTTTTTCTTTGTTTAACCTTTCAGATTGTCAGATAACAAAAGGCTGATTCAGTACTAGTAGTTGTTGGATTAATCCCTGTGGGAACGATACTCTACTCATCATTATATTACTTGATCAGCTAGTGCACTTGCTAGTGTAATCTAAACGCATCACTGAACAACTATTTTTGTCAGCTAAAGATACTGAACTTGAAAAATGGTTACGTAATTCTATAAATCCACAATTTAAAAATGTTTCTAGGTATACTATTAGATCAGATGCTTTAAAAATTTTTTATTCATATAAAAAAATTAATTTATATGTTATCAAATCTTAATTCTAAACTTGCAATTACTTCTGATACTTGGACTTCTAAATTTAACATAAGTTATATTTGTGTTACCGGTCTTTTAATTGATGAAAATTGACTTTTAAATAAAAAGAATTTTAAGTTTTACTAGGCTTGAATGGCCACATACTGGCCCAACTATTGTTGCAAGTATCTTAAATATTTTACATGCTTATGGAGTTGGAAATAAATTATTTTCTATTAGTTTTGATAATGCTAGTAATAATGATTCAGCAATAAATATTTTAAAATCTCAATTAAAACCATGTTTAAATAGTAAATTATTTCATATCAGATGTGCATGTCACATCTTAAGTTTATGTATTCATGATGCTTTAAATATTATTTCTACTCATATTTCTAAAATTAGAAATTATATTATATATATTACAAGTTCTGGAGCAAGAAAATAAGAATTTAAATATTTATGTCAAAATTATGGTTTAAAATATAAACATTGTTATTAGATGTTAAACATAAATGGAATTCTACCTATGCTATGTTAGAAAGTTGTATTTCTCACAAACAAATTCTTAGTGACTTTTATAATGTAAAAATGCCTACTGATATTATATTTGAGGAAAACTAGGAAATGGCAATTTGTATAAGAGATTTTCTAAAACATTTTTATGATGCAATTAATGAGTTATCGAGTATTTATTATCCAACTAGTTGTAATTTAGCTTATCAATTAATGATTATTAGTGATTATTTTGCAAAATATTGAAAGAATCCACAATTTAAAAGTATTGTTGAAATAATGGAAAATAAATTTAAAAAATATTGGGAGAGCATTTATCCTCTTTATTGCTTAGCTACAATATTAGATCCTACGATTAGGAAAGACGGTTTAGATATTTTACTTGAAACATATTGTGAAAATATGAATATTGAAATTGGAAACAAAAAAGAAAAAAATTAATAGTTTATTATTTGAAATGTATAATTTATATGAATCTGAAGTAACAAGGAATAATAAAAATTCTACAAGTTGTATAATTGTTCCACTTTTGAACTTGAGTCCAAAAGTGGAAGAGAAAAACTTTTTTATTTAATAAGTAAGAGCCAGAAATCCACCACCTCGACAACAAGTGCATTTATTGAACTTAATTTTTATTTACAAGAAAATTTTTCTACTTTAGGTGATTCTTCCTTCACCTCGGAGGGAACAAATAATTTTGATATTTTAGCATGGTGGAGTGAACATGCAAAGATTTATCCAATTCTCACCGCAATGGCATGTGATCTACTAACCCCTTCGGTGTCTACAGTTTCATCGGAGTCTTGTTTTAGTGCACGTACTAGGGTGTTGGACAACAAGAGAAACTGTATGCATGATGAAAGTTTAGAGATGTACATCTACTTTAAAGATTGGTTGGATGCTAAAGATAGATTACAAGACAAAGGAGGACATGACACTACACCTAATGTTTCGCCTGAAATAGATGATCAAAGTCAAGAACAATAAGAGAAAATGATGAAGTCAATATTTTTTGTATATTCAATAGTTGTAGTAGCATTTTTTCAAATTATTGTAAATTTTGTATTAATTTTATTAAATTTATTTGATATGTTAAATAACAAAATTTTTATTTTCAATTTGTAATTATATTGTGTTTTTTATATTTTACTAATTTATTCCATTTTCTAATTTTCATATTCCATTCATCCAACCATTGCATGCTTTGTATCATTCAAATTTAAATGAAATAAAATTCTTATTTTTCTTCCAATTTGTTATTCACTTTGAGTATTTGTCTCTTTGACTTCTTATTTGGTTAAGTATTTTTTTCATTTCTTTGTTAGATTTCTTATTTTTCAAATAATTCCTAAAGGAAAGGTAAATATTTTAGTTTTACTTAGTAAAAAAATAAAAAAAAAATCAAAAATGTGAAAAAAAAACAGTCTGGCCCAGTTCGGCCCATGCCTAAGTCCCAAACTGTGGCCCAACCCAGCACGGCCCAGGCCCACGGTACAGCGTACAGCCTGCCTAACGCAGACCCACAGCATGGCACAGGCCTGCACGGGCTTGGGCCATGAGCTATGCTGGGCCAAGCCCCCAAATTATCCCTAAAGAGGACAGGCACAGCCTGTTTTACACCTCTATATGTAAGGAACTCGATTTCAGGTTATGTAAAAGAAGAAAAAAAAAAAAAAAAAAAGGATATCTCACTTGTACTAACGTAAAGAAATCGTGATGTATATTTTACCTTTATACCGACGGATTCTGTCCGTCCGTATATAGCGAAATTGTTATATCCCGATGTATTATATTGGTTTCCAAGGTCATACTCATTTTTTTGTTATGATGCGCGTCTATATTTTGAACTTAATTTGGTTTGAAGGAAAAAATAGGAAAAGGTAAGGAAACCTAAACCTTTACAAACTTTGTATAGGTTCTCGTCTCTTTCCTGTCCTTTCCCTATCTTTTCCTTCAAACCAAACATAGCCTTAGGTGTTTTGGAGAGTCATTATTATTAATTGCTAAAACTTGTTAGGTTCGGTACACCAATGAAAATCAAATGTTTCGATCACAACAATACTTCACTGGATCTCAAGCTATTTCACAACAAAATTAGATTTAATATTATTTTCTTACATGGGTGATGGGTCAATGACCATGGCGTGCCATTGTTATTTACTAGATTCTGTAACTATATATATTTACCCTACTACTTCTAGCGTCAATGTCCGCACCAAAGACGCCATAAGTCAGCACCCTCAGTTGGTTCATCAGCTTCCTTGTTCAAATCGCATATTACAACACTGCTCGAGTTCGTCCCTTTCTTTGAGCTTAACAACCTCTCCTTAGAAACATGAAGAGGAGCCATGTCCACCAGCAGATCTCTTGGCCTCTTTAACGTTCTCTTCAACCTTTTCTTCTCCTTTCCTTCATCACAACCTCCTCCCTTATTCCCTCCACCAGAAGAACTGAACCCCGAAAGACCCTCCTTCAAACCGAAGTCCTCCATTATAAAGGACGGTTGCCAGACAATGAAGTTGTTGGTTGATGGCTTCTCTGGATGATCACCACCAATTCTTCCATTAAGCAATTGTATTCTGTGCGCTTCTCTCTCTACCAGGTCGCAGAAGGCCCTCACCTCTGGAGACTTTGTGCCTCCTTCAGAGTCGCTGTAGTCCTTTTGCTCCATTTCTGATCCTTTCATTTCCACCTCCAACGTTAGCATCCCAATCTAACCAAAAACCAAGGGAAACGTAGGACCAGGATCTCCAGAAATACTAGAAAGAAATACTAAACAACACGACGAAAGCAGCAAAAACAGTAATTATAAAGATGATACCAACAACAACAGCACTATATACGTAAGAACAAGAACAATTAATCATATAAAGAGCAGAAATTTTAAGAGATATATAAAGAATAGTTCAACGTTCTTCCGACCATATCGTCCTCGGAGATTCCACAGAATTGATTTAGAACATCTAAAGGAGAAAACAAAGATCAAAAACCCATTTAGCTAGAGCTGCCAGCAAAATTGGTGCGATTGAACCATCTCTGCACTGTTTTTGGTGAAACAGAATTCTGGGTTTTCAACTTTTGATCAACTTCTAAAGTCTGATGACTAATATGGAATACATATATAGCTGAAGGAGATCAATGGAGGAACTCTGGATCCGAGTCCCAATCGAGGAAGCTGGGAGGAAGTGGAGGGAAAATTCACAGGCCGCCTTGCCTTTGTTTTTCCACAACTCTTTTTCCGTGTTGGCAGTGCTGCTTGACAAGATCAAAAAATACTACCATTTAATTCCGTGAAATGACCAATATTTCCAAATGTATTTGTCCAAAGAGCTCTGTTCTCAATGGCAAAAAAAGATTTTCCTACACGAATCAACTAGGAGGAGATTTTCCTTTATGACCTACGTACCTTTCTTCTGCTGCCACGTATTCAATCAGTGTAAGACTCGTTCCAACAATCTTTATAGCCTTGCATTGGGAATATCTTCCCATGAAATAAAACACAAAGTAAGGAGATGTTCCAATGCAAGGCTGTTCGAACGGGTCTTGAACTGATTGAAGCCGATTTTGACGGTATTGTCGAATTAGAACCAGATTCAAAACCTTTTATGTCATTGCATCACGGAAAGAACATCCGACCATCCGGTTCAACCATTTGACCCGCAAATAAAAATACCCAATTGTCCTAAGATGGTCTTTCAAAGTTTTTTTCTATAATTATAAGCTAAATATAATAAATATTATAACTTGTTATTAGTGCTGTCGCTCGGATTGACCGAGGGCAATACAGTAATCTTACTCCTAAGATCTGGGGCCTTGAACGAGGTCTTCGAGGCCCCAAGTACTTCGGGAGGGGGCCGAAGCCAAGGGCTTGTAGACGATCCGTAGGGGTATGCAGAAGCCGAGGCAGATCACCTTTTTGAGTGTTGAGGATAACGAGGCCTAGGGGCTGAGGTGGGTGATCTCGAAAGAGTTGGTGACGAAGTCAGATGCTTGGCTGGGTGTACGAGTGGTCCGAAGGGGCCCTTAGAGTTTGCTCTGCAAGGAAAGAAGCCCTCGGGTGAAGACCCAAGGCGAGGACTTCGATGATCAAGTTAGTGTCCGCGCAAGGCAAGTAGAAGGTTCAGTGCCAAGGCACACACAGGAGGTCACTAGTAAGCACCCAATCCTCAATAACAAGAATACTAAGAGTCTTAGAGGTTCTAGATCATTTACCTTGTGGGAGGTGCCTTGCATTTATAGTCAGAGCTACTTGTGAGTGGTTGGACTCGGAATGCCCAGATGCGAGCCGTACGGGGTCTATCTCAGAAGGCCCGGATGTGAGTCGTACGAGGGCTAAGCGCAAGGATATGGCGGGGCCATGCGACGCCCTTCGATTGGGCTCGTTCGGTTCATACCGAATGACTCTGTGTGCCCTCATGATGGGCCTATGCTAGCGCCCGCTGGTTGACACACGTCCGCCCCGTATTGGC